CTTTCATCACTTCCCTGTGGACTTCCTTTCTTGTTCACCAACTTTTAGGTCTGGTGAAATCATGACCCCACTGTATCTTCTCTTTAATACTACAACCTAACTGTGTGCATGAAGCATTACAGAAATGACACGCTGAACAGAACATGGCCATTCTAATGGGAAAACCGAGGAGACTCGTTTGGTATAGAAACTGGAAGTGTGGTATAGAAACTGGAAGTGTGGTATAGAAACTGGAAGTGTGGTACTAATGAAGCAATTAATTTTAAATTTAGAACAGCAGAGCTGATGTCAAATTTCAAAGGAAGGGCTAATTTTAATCATCTTAATAACCAACTCAAAAATACAATTTTATTTATTAAGGAATCCTAATGACTGCGGTTGATGATGCTATTATCAGTTATTGAAGTAATCTGGTTTAAGATATGAAAATGATGAAACTGAGGGAAAGAAAGCACTGTTTTGAAATTACCTTCTTTTAAATTTAGATGGATAATTAGGAATGCTTCCAATTTAAGGTTCTAAGCACAAAACCCAGATATGTCATGTTACAGACTTGCTTCCTGAAGATGAAATCAGCAGACGATGGCAAGAATCCACACACTTACAGAACAGCAAATCACAAATGGTGGTCTCCATGAAGCCAGTAGCTTTGTATTTGATATTTCTATCTAGGCTCATTCCCAATTGTTCAGGATTTGGATTCCTGAAGGCTTCTTCAGCATTTAACTAATTCTTTGTTGGCTGAAGGGGCTGGGACTGTTTCTCCACACACAAACTGATCCTAAGACAGAGAAATGACATTAACCAATGAATTTCCATGTCACAAATGCATTAATATTAAACCTTCATTTTGTTACAGAATGATTCCAGCTCTGTTAATTTTGTTTTTCCATTGCTATTATCATTTCATCCTTGTTCAAAGAGCCAATGATAGCACCAGAATCTGAATCTTAAACATGTATCATTTTGGTTCTGAATTCATTATTTAATATAAAGCACCTTATAAACATGCCCATCTTCAGTACAGAGCAACCACTTCTCAGAAATCACATAAAGACACGTCACATCGTTTAATTTCGGTATTAATTATTACTCACACTACAACTTCTCCACTTTAATAACTGGTCATACAAATACCAGTCCTCTTCAAAGTAACTACTTCTTCCAACTAAAAGGGACAGGTCTTTATGTGTTTCTCAACACAGATAATCTGCAATGTTAGCTACTTTGTAAATGAAGTTCAATCTCTGATCATTTATCCTGATTTATCTCAGCTACCACAAGAAATCTCTGCCACTGAGGTTACCCTCCACCTCCAGCAATCTGATTCCTGAAAGATCAGTCCCAACTCTGTCCCTACTGGTCTGCTGCTCAATATCTGGAACTCCTTCACTGTACTCTGTGGAATTCATGATCCATTGTGGGCACAATGCTCCATGTTCTCAACCTCTTCCTCAAAATGTCATTTTACCCCCAAGAGCACTGGTAGTATCTGGAAACAGTCTGAATTGAAACAACAGAGGATTGCTATTGGCATCTAATAGGTAGAGGCCACGGATCCTGCTAGACATCCTACAGTGTGGGATAACCCTGCACAACAAAGAATTATCAGGCCTAAAATGTCAATAGTGCTGAAGTCAAGATTAAGTCATATTCTTTTTTTGTCCAACATGGAGTCTTCCTCTGTTGCCCTGGCTGGAGTGCAGTGGCGCAATCTTGGCTCACCACAATCTCTGCCTCCCAGGTTCAAGCGATTCTCCCTCCTCAGACTCCTGAGTAGCTGGGACTACAGGTGTGTGCCACCATGCCTGGCTAAAGCTAATGGTTAATTCTTTTTCTTTTTTGAGGTGGGGGTCTCACTATGTTGCCCAGACTACTGGGCTCAAGTGATCCTCCTGCCTCAGGCTCCCAAAGTCCTGGGATCACAGGCATGAGCCACCACACTCAGCCAAAGCTAATGGTTAATTCTTGATTTCTATCAATGGATGTGACAAGGATCACCACTTCCTCGACCCCTTCTCATCTGGTTTCCAGGATTTGACACTGCTGACTTTCCTCTTTCTCGGTGGTTGCTCCTTTACTGTCAGCTTTGGTGATTCCTCACTTCCCTCCCTGACCTTTTAATATTGGAGCACCTTCAGGCTCAATCCTGTATTTTATCCATCTCTACTTTTACAGACCTGGAGATCTCATCCAATCTCATGGCTCTAAATGCTATCTATTACGTAAGATAACTCCCAAATTGACACTGCTAGCCAATTTTTCTCCATGAACTCCAGGCATGCATATCCAATTGGATGACAGACTTCTCAAACTTAGTATGTATAACGCCAACCCCTATACCTACAGTTACATTCCCTCAATGGACAGTAACTGCATCCCCCTAGTCATTAAGGTCACATATGAAATCACCCTTGAGTCACTCCCTCACACCCTATATCCAATCAGTCATTCAAAGTATATCTAGAATCTAAGTACTTCTCATTATCTCCATGGCTGTAACCAGGTCCACGCGACCCATCTCCTTCTTTTATTAGTGTAATAGCCTCCTAACTGGTTTTCCTGTTTCTATTTTTGCTCTCTATAGTATTCTCTGAACACAACAGCCAGAATCATTTTTTAAACAAACTTAAATTGGATCATAGCACCCCTATGTTTGAAAACTCTCCAGTGGTTCCCTGTATCATTCACAACAAACACCAAATCCTTAAAGTGATCCACGAATTTATCTTGGACTACTCTCATCCTGCTCTGCTCTGATCACATTGGCCTCCTTTTTGTTCCTTGATAAAATTGGGCATGTTCCTGTCTTAGGTCCCCTTCACTGAACAATCCTTTGCTGTATCCTCATATGTACATGGCTCACTCCCTCACTTCCTTGAAATCTTTACTTAATAAGGCCTTTCTCAGTGAGGCCTGCCATGATCACCCCTGTCAAACTCCAATTTTCTCCCAGACCAGCATTCCTGATCTTCCTTACCCTGTTTGCTTTCTGTTGCAGAGCATATTTTAATACAAGAATGAATCATTATATTTCTAAATTATAGTCTAAATTTCAGCCTGCTTCTCTCATGAGGCTCTGTGCCTCATCCCCACTTTCCCTGTATTCATTTTAGAGTTCATTCTTGAGAGTGTTAAGCTCCTTATCTAAGATTCCATTCAACGTACTGAACAAAACTTTGAGTAAGAGTGGGAAGTAATAACATTTTTTTCTATTGTCAATATCCTTGGCTGAAAGACAACAGGGCAACTAAAGACTAAAATGAAATTATAAAGCTGCACCTAGGAATTATATCTTAAGATAATGCAGAATTCCTTGTGTAAGCAGGCATGAAATATACAATTGTTCCCTTCTAAGTAAGCAGGCATGAAATACCATATGTAAACAATTTTAATTACATATTAAATAGAAGAGAAATATAAAGTTTGTCCAGTAAAATAATCTACATAATTACTTCTCTCTCTTTTTTTTTTTACTTAGATAACTGGTAAAGGATTTTGTTTATTTTTAATTTTATCTTCTCTTTAATAAGTAATAATTTTCACTAAAGCTAGATTTAGCGCCAAAGCTAAAATAAATTATGTAATCTGAAATTTAATCATTTTAATTTACTATTTAGCTGTTTATCAATGGTGTTTAAAACCTTCCTGAAAAAAATACCGCACTTTACCTCGCACACTCAAACATTCTCTTGCACTCATCACTGACAGGCTGATCTAAGTCCTTGCCACTGCCTTACAACCCCCTTCCCCCATTTTAAAATTGTATCCTTACTTTGTCATAAATCACTTTTATAATGAGAGAGCAGCTAGGACACGTTGCCACGTCTTCCCCATTCTCCAAATCTTCCTACAACGAAATCAAACACCATGTGGTCAGCACAATCTCTTTGCCATCTCCTCCCGCAAACCTATCCCACCCCTAGGTGCGAGTCTCTTAGTGGCTTGCCTTCCCTCCACGGTGGGTGAGAACCCCAGGGCCTTCGGTGAGAAATGCCAACTTGATTCTCCTATAGAAGCGTCGCTTAGGGGAAACATCTAGGCATGTTAGGCGAGCTTCGGTCGCCCCAAAGCCCTGGGAAACAAAAAACGAGTCCCCTCCTCTACAGAGATATTCCAGGCTGGGTCTCTAAGGCGGGGACCGGGCAGGGAGACAGAGGCTCCTGCCGCCCTCTCCCTGGCCTAATCTAAGGCCAGAACTACCTGCCTACAGAGAGAGTTCAGGGTATTAGCTGGGGTGGGTGTAAGTGGGAGGAGGAAGATTCAGCAACTGGAAAGAGGGCGTGGGTGACCCAGAGTTTCAAAGACGACCCAATCACGCAAGAATAAGGCGGAGCGAAACTGCGCTTGCTTCGGTGAAACGCCGGGCGAAGCCCTGAAGTTACCTTGGTGATAGAGAAGTTATCTCCACATGGGCAGGGATAGAAATATGTCTCCGAGTCCTCGTCATATTGGAAGTCCTCGATTTCCACCTCATCGTGAAACACTGCCATGGTCAGCGGGGATCGGCAAGTCCAAGATCAGTTTCGAAGGTCTAACTTCGCCCGAGCCGGCCCGGGCTAGGCATCACCACATCGCGCCGGGCTTGAACCAGCGCTTCCGGCGCATAGGCAATGACGCAATTCCGGCCTGCGCGGCAAAATGGGTAAGCGGTAGCGGTCACCATGGAGATGGCTGAGCTAGGGGCGGAGACACTGGGAAGACGGCAAGTCTTGCTCAAGCGTGGTCTCGCACCTCTCCTTCTATTGGACGGCAGCGACCAATAGACTGTGGGGCTGGCTCGCGCTGCTTCGTCACATCTAGGACCGCGGAGTATCCCAGGCGCCAGTAGCTGAGTTTGGCCGTGTCTGCGAGCTAGGTTCCCGGGGGTGGGGTAAGTTTCCCTGTTTCTTTTCGCCTAGTTTAGGCCTTAAATAGCGGACTGAAGGCTGCAGCAGGTGCTAGGTAGCCTCCTCCCGGTAGCTCTCTGGAAAGGCGGAGTGGGGAGGCGAGAGCAACTTAGCCTCCTCGACCTCCCTTCCTGGAGACGAACAGTTCCCGTAGAATTTCGCTTCACCGAGTGACCTTGAGCCCAGGGCGAATTTCGCTTCACCGAGTGACCTTGAGCCCAGGGCGACGGTCAGCTTGTTCCTGGCTGCAGGTACATTTCGTTTCTTTCTCTCCCCAGACATATTAAAATAACCTAAATTGCGTTGCTGAAAGGACCAAGCCCTGGAAGGCAGGGATTGAGGTCTAGTCTTCTGTTTGTCAGGTGTATGACATTATTAACTACGATGATTTGTAGTAATAGTAATAACCTTTTTCTATTGGGAAGTTATGTGCCAGGTATTGCACTAAGTGGAACTGTCAACTCAAGGAGTTTACATGTTATTCCATTTTACTAATCTTTAAATTGAGGTACAGAGAGTTGGGCATCTTGACCAAAATCATACACCTAGGAAATAAGAGCTTATCTGTCTCCAAAGCCCAGGAACAAATTACTTATGTGAGTACCAGTTTTTTCTTTGTGAAAGAAATGGTATCAGTGGGCAGGTTTATTAGTATGTATGCCTTGAAACGAAATGCAGATGAAAGGCATTTTGTCTTGAAAGCAGTGCTAGTGCTTGTTTTGGTAAAACCGATTCCATTGGGTCTTAATTAGTTGGTATTTTAATATAGAGAAGGAATGCATTGTAGTGGGGAAAAAAAAGCACTTTTGAGAGAAGATCTGGGATTCTGAATCTTGAGTTGCTGACTAGCCCTAGCAACTGGATATTTACCTTCTGTGGGCCTTATTTCCTCTTCTAAGAAACGGTTGGAGGAGAGATGATTATAAGATCCTTTGTAGATGTAATGTCCCACTTTTGCATGGAAATTACGAGTTTTACTTGGTTCAGCAATTATATGCCATATTTAGTTTACATTTACATAACACATATACAAACTGTATCCCTGTGCTTATATTTACACACTCATATGTTGGCATGAAGTTACCAATTTTATGCACATTTAGCCGTTTTAAAGCTTGAAAACTTAAAGGCAGAGGAGTTTTTGGGAGAAAATCCATAAGTTACATTACAGGACTTTATGGAGGATTATTTCAAAGAACTCACAAACACTTGATTTTCTGTAATTATAGATTTACCCAGCAGTTAGGAAACTTGTTAAGCTTGTCAGGGATTGACTGTGATTGTTCTGGTCTGTCTGGGTAAAGGAGAAATCCCAAGCCCGCACAGCTCAGTGGCTGCTCCTTGCATCACTGTTGATGTAAATACTTCCCACATAGCCTCTTGGAGACAGAAAAAAAAAAAGGAGATTCTCTGTGTCTGTTCTGTAGTCCTGATGATCATTTTGAGGTTGGGAGCCATCTTTACTTCTTTAGTACTTCTAAGTACTTGAAAATTAAATATGAGCCATTTTCCTATGTGGAGAAATGGGGGTAGTCATATTTGGCTTATGGGACGTATAAATTGGTAGATCTCTTAGAAAGCAGTTCGCATCTATCAAAAACAATTTGCTGAGGAATTTTAAAATTTGAAGTTAGTAGTCCTAAAAGTTACAGGGGTTGTTGGGTAGATTTTCTTTGTAATGTTCCAACTTTTCTTTGAATACATGTTAGCTAAAATGGAAAAAACAAATAATAGTTGACACTGTGTTGGTCATACACTATGACCAAATCCTTATGTGCATTGTGTCTTTAAAAAAAACCCAATGAGGTGTTAAGTATCATTACCCCCATCTTTAACACTGAAAAGCATGAGGCTTAGGGCCTGAGGAACTTGCCTAAGCCAAAGCGGTAAATGGCAATAAGCTGTGATGAGAACTCAAATCTGTCTGACCCTAAAATCTAGGCTTTTAATTAACAATGGTGTCATTGGTGATGTGATGGCACTTAAAGCAGAGCTCGATTTAAAAGGCAGCACTGTAGCTCTGCAGACTGCTGAGATCTCCCACTAAGCAGTGCTCATTCCCATGAGAACTAGGTTTGGGGAGGGGGATCTCCATGGCTTTCCATGTTTTCATCCTGGCATCCATTGGCTGTCTCCATTGTCTGGCCAGAGATGGCTGCTCTTAATGTTCTGCCCAATTTGAGCTTGTACTGTGCTAAAGAAAGTAAAACCATAGCCAAGCATGCAGTATAGTTTATTTTCCTTCACCTAGCACTTTTAAAGAACACATTACAATGACTACTAAACTTTATATTTATTCCTAAAAGGATGGAAACATTTTGTAGTGACACACTTTTGGACTCAGAGTGTGACACAAGCAGATTTACTAGTTGCAAGAGTAATTTGAGATCACAAGTTTATTTTATCATAAATATTAACTGACACTGCTTATCCAGAGAACAATGGTGCCTAGGATTCTTAGCATAAGTTCAGGTTTAGAAGTAGGTAAGACTTGTATGATGGAAACCATATTTGATGAGTGCTGTTGTATATCAGGCCAGAGGGAGTTGTTCGCTGGCAATACCAAACCTCCACCTCAGTAGGTGGTTTGACAAGGAGGAGAAGGGGTTAATGTATTACGATTGATTTTTAGTAACGCTCTTGTTTGCCAGGTACTTTGGTATTTTATTTATTCCTCTTAATAATCTAGTGAGGTGGTGTGGGTAATGTTAAAATGGCAAGAGGAGACTTGCTGAAGATGAGAAAGCAGGAAGGAGTCACACCTAAGCCCAGTTCTGCTGATTTCCAGTCAAATACTCTGCGTCTATTACCCGTTTACCACTAAGGTTTCTTTGCCCAGCGGAGCACGAGGAGCTCTTTTGCTTCCTCATTGAAGATTCTAAACTTCAGATGCCATGATTGTTCTTTGAACTTACTTAATTTCAGTGCATTTATGCTTGTTGAGACATGCTTGGCTTTTCTCTTTTTGTCATTGTCCTCTCACACCCTGTTAAATGTATCAGCAAGTTTTGGGGCTCTAATTCCAAAAAAATGTCATGTTCATCTACTTCTGCCATCTCTGTAGCTGCTGTTACCTTATTATAACCTTAGACCAGAGGCTTTTAACTAGACTTCCTGCTTCCACTCCTGCCCCTTCCTATTATCTTTCCCACAGCAACTTGAGCAGTCCTTTAAAAATATAAATTAGACCTTGTCCTTCTCCTGATTGATTCACTCTTCAGTTGTTCCTGTTACCCTTAGGATAAACTTCCTGCCATTCCTGTAGACTGCTGGACTTCATCTCATTTCACTCTTACCAGCCTACTGCTCTCCAGTCACACTGGCCTTGGTTCCTCTGACATGCCAGGCTTATTTCTGTGTTGGGACCTTTGTTCTTGCTAATCCTTCTGCCTGAGTGGCCTCCTTTTACCATTTGCTTGGCGGCCTTTTCCTCAGCCAGATCTCAGCCAAGGTGTCATCACTGGAGAGCTGTCTTTCCTGATACTTCCCCCACCTACCCTATCACTCTGACTTCCTTTATCATACTCATCATAGTCTGCAGTTAGCTTGTTAATTATTTGTTTACTACTATCCGTCTCTGGAACTGTAATAAAAGCTTTATGATGGCAGGGGCCTTGCATCTGGTTCTTTATTGTATCTTCAAGTTCAAATAGTGCCTGGCACCCCTGTAATTGTTGAATGAACTGAGTATACCTGTTGAACTGAAACCAGTGTAATTCATCTTAAATCTTAAATTTAATCTGTTGCTTTCAGAAATTTGTTTTACTACGTATTTAAAGGGTGTGAGTTTAATTTAAAATTTATTATAATCTGCATTTCAGAAATAAAGTTAATTAAGAATTTTTGATAAGGGAAGGCTTGTGAGGATACAGACATTGATGGGATATTCTTCTTTATATGGTTTTAGAAATAACTTGATATATATTGATCTGCTGTGGTTGATTAAATACTTCCAGTATGAAACCACCGGACATATTTCAAAAAATTAGTAGGGTTTCAGTTTTTTATTTTTTATTTTATTTATTTATTATTATTATTTTTTTTGAGACAGAGTTTCGCTGTTGTTACCCAGGCTGGAGTGCAATGACGCGATCTCAGCTCACCGCAACCTCCGCCTCCTGGGTTCAGGCAATTCTTCTGCCTCAGCCTCTTGAGTAGCTGGGATTACAGGCACGCGCCATCATGCCCAGCTAATTTTTTTGTATTTTTAGTAGAGACGGGGTTTCACCATGTCGACCAGGATGGTCTCGATCTCTTGACCTGGTGATCCACCTGCCTCTGCCTCCCAAAGTACTGGGATTACAGGCTTGAGCCACCGTTTTTTATATTTTACTTAAAGGACTGGCATAAAGCTTTGGAAAGCACTTTGAACAGAATTTTATAAAAATGCCCATTATGTACCAGTAGGTGGCACTCTTGGTCATGGTTACTTTTACAAAATGTTAGAATTTTAAAGAGAATTGCTTTTAAAATTAATGTTTATTTTCCAGTTTAGTTGAGAAGGAGACATTCAGGCAGAATAATCATTAAACAATGTATCCTATTGTGAGGACAACTTATTTTAGCAATAGTTGCCTAAAACATTAAGCAGAACAGTATTTCCATATTTAACTATATAGTGGTTACATTTTATCAGGGAACTTGGCCTTAAATGACATGTAACTGTGTCATTCTGGCCTTCGGTCTGCTGTTTCCTGGGGTGGATATCCTAAGTAGCAGGAGTTAAAGACAGGCCAAGGAAGAAGAGCAAAAGAAGCTGTAAGATAAATAAGCAAAAAAGAAAAATGGAAGCCTGGGGGGGGGGAAGAATGGATGGAGAGGGGGTAATTGAGAGTGGGCTTGCTGTGAGGTGATGCCTACTGATTATTATAAGCCTTTCCTTTTGCAGCTAAGAGGTAATAGTGCTTTTGATCAGTTTCCCAAAATGTTGTTATATGTTGTTTGTGTCATTGCAGGAACTTTGTGAGAATTTTAATGCTTGGAAATACTGTGTTTCAACTGGTGTACATCCAAAAGTCTCAGTGTGATAGCAGGACCAAAACATTCTGTCAGTCAGCTGACCATATACTTAATGACTCCTAAAATCTCGTGGACTTCTGAAGTGAGTTTCAACTTCTTTCTTTCAGGGATTAAGGCACCATTTTGGGCTTAGCACATTTAATGGAGAAAAACGACATTTAGTGGTCTTGAATGAGGTTGAAAGGCCGTCTGCTTTTTTTGTTTACTAAAGAGCAAAATAGCAAGTAGCGTGTCTACAATGATGCCACAGTATACTATGACAAGAAGAAATATATCTTTTATCTAGAGACTAGTTATGAAGTAGCGAGGTTTTTAATATGATTTGGTTACAACTGAATACAGATGACTTATGTCACCACCAGATTTGTTTATTTGTATTTATTTTCTGTCTTCATCTATTAGAATTCAGGCTCTCTAAGAGGGTTTTTGTTTTCTCCATGCCTCTATCACCATTGCTTAGACCAGTGCCTGCCACATACTGGATATTTGTTGAATGAAGGACCAAATTCATGAATATGGAGTAGGAATGTAAACACTTAGCTTGAATATTTTCCTAACACCAACTTATTACAATTAATTTATGTACTGCCTCCCAAAAAGCTCAGAAAAAAGGTATTCACATGTATTTTCATTTATTCTCAAGGTAACTAAGATAGAAAAGGACAGATACAGCAATGTAACATGTTAAATGTGGCCATTTTAGGCAAATAAATGTTTAAAAATGGACATGGGAAAGTGATATAAAAAGAACCAAAAGGAAATATCATCTGACTCCTAATCAGTGCTTTTCTTGATAGGCTGGTAGTTTTTAGAATTTGAAATGTTGAAGAATGTGTGTGTACCTGTGCGTTTGGACTTGAAGTTCATGTACAAACAAATAACTACACAAATCCTAAGAGGACAGCTTAATTAGTTTTTACAAAAAGTGAAAATACCCATGCAGTCCGCACCCAGTTTAAGAAATAACATTGTCACTACCACCTCCCAAGGGAAACTGCTAACTAGATTTCTGACAGCATGGATTCATTGTGTTTGTTTTTATATTTTATATGATTAGAATCAAAGAATATCTGTTCTTTTGACTGGCTTCCTTCATTCAGTATGTTATCTGTGATACTCACCTCTGTTACTGCATGAAGTTGCAGTTTGTTTTCATTGCTGAATAGTATATCTTACTGTGCGAATGTATCACAATTAGTTTATCTCCTCTATAATGGCATTTGGACAGTTTCCAGTCTGGGCTGTTACGAATAGTATTATCTGTTTTGGTTTTTATTATCTGGGAACCTTAAGCTTCTTGTTTGGAAACCTTGGTAAATTTATACTTTACCTATACCTCTTATACTTTACCTATCAAGAAATATAAAAGATTTGTGTACTGCTCTTTAGGTAGAATACAATTATCAGAAAGTTATAAAATCTGCGCCCCTCTACTGTGATAACATAATATTAGTCATGTGAATTTGATCAGAGATTTTAGAAACCAACAGAGAGCATAAATATTTGATAGCACCAAAAATTACATACTTATGTACATAATTGTGGGGATACCTTGAATCAACTCCGAATAGTGGCAGAAACTGTATTGAGGTTAAGTTAGGCTCTTGGTTGCTTTGCTGGTAGCTTGACTCATAATAGCACCAACAGAAACCCAAACTCTTCTTCACTGACCCTCTAAAACAGTCTGATATTTCCCCACTGTTTTAAAAAACAGTTTTAAAGTTCAGTTTTATGTTTGCCCAGGAAGCACCATGGCCTGTGCTGCTGTTATGATTCCTGGGTTGCGGTGCTCTGTTGGAGCCGTCTGTACTCAGGGTGCTTCATTGAGATTGACATTCAGCGCTTTGCGCCACCTTACTCTAACCAGGTGAGTCATTAAGCCTTCTGTGCATTTGAAGTTGATTTTCAAAGACACCTGACCTGCTGATGGTCCCGAGAGGCGTATCAAACACCTGTCAAGGTAACACCTTGCTTGGCTTCCATGTGCATGCTGTCAGGTTGTTAAACTTTTTTTTTTTTTTTTTTTTTTTTGAAAGGGAGTCTTGCTCTGTCACTCAGGCTGGAGTGCAGTGGCACAATCTCAGCTCACTGCAACCTCCACTTCCTGGGTTCAAGTGATTCTCCTGTCTCAGCTTCCCGAGTAGCTGGGATTACAGGCATGTGCCACCACACCTGGCTAATTTTTATATTTGTAGTAGAGAGGAGATTTTGCCATATTGGCCAGGCTGGCCTCGTACTCCTGACCTCAGGTGATCTGCCTGCCTCAGCCTCCCAAAGTGCTGGGATTACAGGCCTGAGCCACCATGCCTGGCCAAAACTTTAGTTAGATGGACAAATACTCGCTGACCGTATTATAGGATCCATAATGTTATATTGTATTTAGGATAACCATGATATTTCAGGACAAACTAATTTTATGATTTTTATGAGGATAATACATAACAACCTAATTTTACTTTCTGTTACAGCATAATGAAATCCAAAAGGAAAACTGATCACATGGAGAGAACTGCAAGTGTCATTCGACGGGAGGTTTGTATCTGTGGGGTATGGGAAGTTTTTCCAGCTAGACAGTTTACTTGTGGTTGTGATTGGCTTATGGGTAAAGCATTACATGAGTGGTCCTTTTGAAGGACAGTTGGGAAGTTTGTTATTTTTCTATTTAGAAATTTTCTGAGCAGGACGTATGATATCTGATTTGAAAAGATGACAAATACTCAAATTTTTCCCTTTAAACTTGGAATGATGGATTAACTTGATGAAGGGAGTATAGCAACAATTGAGAGAACCATCCTCACAAGTGTGATGTTTAGGGTTATATTTTAGCACTAGAACTTCTTTTAGAGCCTTCGAATAGCCTATGAATAGCTTACCTTTTTCTTTTTCTGGCACATCACATCTCAAAGTCCTTGTTCTCATTCCTACCTTAGAACAACTTACTTCATCAAGTTATTTTATCAAGGGAGAAAGCACTAACATCTGAGAAAGGAAAGTGGACGAGCTCTTGTTACGCTTCTAATGTACAGATTTTTTCCCACCATATTCAGACTATAGAAAGCTAATCTACCACCTGAAGGGGTGTCAAGGGCTGAGACATAAAGGATCCTCACCCTTTACTTCAGTGAGTAACCCCATTTTTATTTAAAAACATAAATTGGATATTTGATTTTGCTTTTTTGAATGTTTATCACTTATTCAGATAAATTTAGCTTAGTGTTATACGCCTATTTAAGCTAACAATAAAAAGCTGTATTTTATATAAAGAAGGATTATATACTTCTACAAATATGGGCAGAAATTATATTGTCTCATTTAATTTTATCTATTAATAGAAGGATACACTTTAATGTAAAGGTATACTTTTCAGAAAATTACTTTGGGACTAAGGGTAATGTGTTTGTTGATTCAGCTTAAAGTTCATGTGCTTTTTTTTTTTTTGAGAAGTCTTTAAAATTAGTTCAGCAGCAGAGTAGATTTAGGAGCTTATGGGGAAGTACACTTTTCCCAGTGATAAATCTGAAAAGACTTTTTTTGTTTGTTCAAGTGACCAAAGATGCTGATTCTGTAAATGTGAGACTTAACTGTTAGGATTTTAAAAAAATGAAGGCCTTGTAAATTATGAAGATAAGTGGTTTATCTTACAGGCTCTTTCCTGTTATATTTTGAGGCTGGTGGAATTAGAGCAGAGGTTGAAGAACTTTGTCTAGAAGGCCAGATAGCAAATATTTTAGTTTTTTGGACTATGCTGTCTAAACGTCTGATCTCTGATTTTATAATGTGAGAAGAGCCATAGAAAGTATGTAAACAGATTTCATTTATCGAACACCCAGATTTGGCCTGCAGATAATAGTTTGCTAGTCTCTGAATTAGAATATTCATTTCAGAATTTTATTTTACAATACCAATTAATTTTAATAGCCTGCAGAAACTAAGTACAATATGAGCAAAAAGAATAATTAGGCATTTACAAAACAATTAGTATGTTATTTACTGTTTAGCCTCAACTGATATTTATTGAGCACCTCCTATTTTCCAGGACCCAGAAATTTGTTTGTTACCTTACAGAATTCTCAAAACTGTGCCGTGAGATAGGTAATAGTATTTTAAGACAGGTAAGATAGATAGATAGATATTAGTACTTTCTTCTTGTTTTTTGAGACAGGGTCTTGCTCTGTCACCCAGGCTCCTGGAGTGCAGTGGTGAAATCATGACTCACAGCAGCCTTTATCTCCCAAGTTTGAGTGATCCTCCTGCCTAAGCCTCCTCAGTAGCCCGGACTACAGGCACACCACTGTGCCCGGCTAATTTTTAATTTTTTGTAAAGATGATCTTACTGTATTGCCCAAGCTGGTCTTGAACTCCTGGCTTCAAGTGATCCTTCCTCCTTGGCCTCCCAAAGTGCTGGGATTACAGACATGAGCCACTGCACCTGGCCAGTAATTTCTTTTTAAAAGATGAGAAGATTAAGAATCAGACTAATAGGAACTTGCACAGCATCCCTCATAGGCATTAACCTACTTAATTATGTTGACTGCCAACTCTAAGGAAACATACCTATTTTTCACATTTGTATTGTTACCACAGAGTCTTTACTTTTACATTTTTCAAATTTGTGTGGATATAAACAGTATTTTTATTTATATCATCGTCATTTCTCTTTCCTGATGAAAGACTTTTATCTCCCTAAGGTTATCACTACTTGTCTATAATTTCTTGCTTATTAATTTTAATATACGTAAGTGGGAATGTGCAGTATTCAGTATTCAGTTATTCTGCAATTTAAAAATGAGGCAGGTGCATACTTTAAAAGTTATACCTATTAAAAAATAGATACTAATAGCGCGTCTCTTTCTGAGTATGCTCACATTTCCTTTTCTTGGGTACATGCTTTCCCTTTTCCAGTAAATTACCATACTTTTACTAAAAAAAAAAAAAGATATCAACTGTGGTTTCTAAAATACACTTAAATATATTTAGAATTAACCTCATTAAAGTTTTTGGTTTACAAAATAATTATATAAATACAGTATGTTAAAAAGCGTAAATGACTGCGTATCATGATGGTTGGTGACATATAAGTACTGATACACATATTCTTTCAAGTTTGAAGTACCTCACCTGAGAACTGGGCTAATGGGCAGTTCCTTAGTTTGGTTCAACTGGAATAAAATTATAAAAGGTGTATTTTCCTTTATGTTACAGATATATAACTATAGCCTAAAGGTCAGATAACACAGAATTCAGTAAATATTGCAATAGTTAATATCAAATTCTAGCCAACTTCTAGTATTATGAAAGTATATCTAATCTTAGAGAAAACCTGTTCTAACAAAGTTATCTTAAGAAAAAGGGAAGGAACTATAAAGAAACAGACTATTATAGAACTAGTAAATATTCTTCTTTTGTAGGTTAGGGACTGAGATTCAGTCCTGATAAGTAACTTGCTCAAGCCCTGTGTCAGTGGTGAATCCAGGACTGATTGCTGAGCCTGACTTCTGTTTCAGGCTCTTTTGAACATGCCCTTGTTCTCTCATCTTATGACCGAATTGTGTCATTTATTCACTAAATTTTAACTCTAATTTGGAAAATTATCAACTAATAAAACTGTGTTTCTCTTCAGCACAACTCCCTGGTTTTTAAAAATGAGTGTTACAAGAACGGGATACAGTCTCTAACATTAGAGCACTGTCATAGGTTCCTTAAGATCAGACCTTTATACAGGAAAAAGTTCCCTTGACATCTACTTTGATGTGGCTAGAAAAAGCTTCTATAAAAGTCATAGCTTTAAAGCCTTTTTACTCTATATCATAGTGACGTCCTATGTTGTAAAACAGTTTTTATCATCTGACATTTTCTTCAGATAGTTTTCCTGCTTTAGCTGTCTTATAAGAACTTTCCAAAGACTTCAGTCTGCCTGTAGTTTGTTGTTTGTGGCTCAAGAAGAGTTATCTTTGAATGTAGCTTAGAGACTTTGCCAAAAATGTTCTTTATTTATGTCTTGTCTGCAGTAAGAATGTTCAATTTGTGGCCAAGTGCGCAGTGGTTAATGTCTGTAATCCCAGCACTTTAGGAGGCTGAGACAGGAGGATCACTTGAGACCAGGAATTCAAGACCAGCCTGGGCAACGGAGCAAGATCCAGTCTCTACAACAAGTTACAAAATAGCTGGACATGGTGATGTGCCTGTAGTCCTGGCTACTCAGGAGGCTGAGTCAGGAGAATCACTTGAGCCCAGGAATTCAAGATTACTAATGTTAGCTATGATCGTGCCACTGCACTCCAGCCTGTGTGGCTGGCATAGCAAGACCCTGGCTGGCTGTCTCTCTCTCTCTCTCTCTTTTTTTTTTAAAGAAAATGTTTCATAGATTTACATTCTTATATATGGGGTCTTCAATGTCTATGTCTTCCATTTCTGTGGTTTCTTTTTGGGTAGACGTAAAAGAATTAACTGCAGGTTTAGAAAAATGACAATAATAGATTCTTTATTTGTGTTTAATTCTTCAACTGTTTAATTATTGTGGTAACTAAGAATGAATTATTCTGTGCTGACTTGATTTTCATGGAATTATTTGTAAAGTTTGGATTAGCAAGATGATTAGTAGTTATTTCAAGCGCTTCTTTGGTTTCTAAAGACTGTTGAGTACCTTCTGAATTTGAAGTTATCCGAGTAATAGTTGTAGAATTTAGATACCCAAAAGATTTGTGAAAACCACCTATATCCATATTTTAGTTAACTGATGTTGCCAAGATATATTCTGGTTTCCTAGTTAATCTTGTTTAACTAGTTTAAGAGTTAACATATATTTTGACTTGAACCCAGGAGGCAGAGGTTGCAGTGAGCTGCGATTTCGCCACTGCCCTTCAGCCTGGGCAACAGAGCAAGACTCTGTCTCAAAAAGAAAGAAAGAAAAGAAGAAAAGAAAAGAGTTAACATGTGTTTTGTATACTTCTTGGTGTTGGAAGCTGGTGGCTTCACCAAGGCAGATGAAGCAAGTAATTGCGTGTTCAGGGAGCACATCTGTGTTTTCTTTGCCTCATTTAATACAAGTGAGTTTTCTAATTTGGCTTTTAGGCGTACTTTCTTCTCATCATACAATTTTTTCTTCTGGAATTTTTTTTTAGAAGGGTCTTTTTCTTGATTGTCTTTAGGCAAAGGAAAAATTGTTGGAACTACACTTTGTTTTAAATACCAAATTCCTCATCTGGTGTCAAGAGAGTCAGGAGTGAAATGGTCACTACGTAGTAACTGGTATTTACCTGAAACCCATCAATCTCGCTTTATATTTTTTCACCGTTTTCAAGTTTTTCTTTGTCATTTAGGAGAAATGGGTAAAAACTCAGCTTCTGATCTTTATTTTTTTTTGTCCCTTGTGATTCTTAGAGTAAATCGCTGTCCTATAGCTGAGTATCACTTCTATGAGGTCCTGGGGGACCAGGGCCAGCAAGAGGTGCAAGGCAGCTGTTCTTTCATTTCAGAATTTTACAGGACAAAATTATTGGGACTTTTGGGGGTTATTTTGAGCCAAGTAAACT